CCTTCGAAAGTTGCTTTGTTTCTAGATAATTTGCCACATCTGCAAACCATGGAGGGTGGTCTTCCCGTGTTTGAACAAGATAAAGTCTTTCATCTGGGAATGAATCATTAATTTCTCTTCTGGACACTTCATTGGCCGCTAGACCTTCCAACCTGGAAAGATGGTCAGCAACGGGGTTCTCCGCTCCCTTATTGTCCTTGATTTCAATGTCAAACTCTTGAAATGACAGTATCCATCGGATAGGATGAGGCTTAGAGTCCGGCTTCGTCATCAAGTAATGGAGAGCGGAATGATCGGTGTAAACAATAACCTTGGAAAGAACCAAGTAGGGCCGGATTTTGTCAAATGCAAAGTCCACAAAAAGTAGCTCCTTTTCAGTGGTAGTATAATTTTCTTGAGCATCATTCAGAGTCTTACTTGTGCAACAGATCGATTGAAAGTGATTGTATCTCCTCTAACCCATGACTGCTCCTACAGCGAAATCGCTTGCATCGCACATCAATTCAAAAGGTCATTTCTAGTACGGGGTCACCATGATTGGTGCAATGGTCAACCGACTCTTCAAGGTCTTGAAAGCATCATTGCACGCTATAGAAAACTCAAAGACCGTGTCTTTCTCAAGTAGTTTGGTGAGAGGTAGGGCAATCTTCGAGAAATCTTGTATGAATTTTCTGTAGAAACCAACATGACCGAGAAAACTCTGAATTCCCTTTACCGTAGTCAGTGGAGATAGCTTGCTAATGGTTTCTACAGAAAATTTTTCAGCCGCTCAATCCCATGAGATGGAAGGCAGAGAGATACGGGTCGCGACTGAGGAGACCATAGCAAGAGGATAAGGTGCAGGGCCATTTGTCGATCCGGGCTTTGTACCGCAATTGATCGATGGAGGGCAGTAGAGTCTGACAGGCGGAATCGCTATCTTCCCCGAGCACCATCTTCTGCTCTAGCTATTGTCGAGATTCCAAAAGAATCACAAAGCACGACGACAGGCTTTCTTGGGACGAAAGGTTATGGGGAATTAAATGGACCAGGGGAAGCCCTCAGATAATGGATGGCGGCGGGATTCTTGGACCAGCTATCCCCCTGGCATCGCCATTCTTCTAGTGAGGTAAGCCAGCAAACCACCAATGAAATTATGAGATAAATGATGATAGTTTATTTCAACAAATTACAAGGTTAAAAGGGAACTGAAGTTTGTATCTCATGGAATTGGGCGGTTGTATGGCTATTGCAATGTACTAAAGGAAATTGTTATTGTATGGTAGCATGGACAACTACGCAATGGAGATGGGGAAGATAATTGAGTGAGTTTGCAAAGCTTCAAGCCTTCGACTAGGGTATGATGATTAATGTAAAGCGTTTATGGACAGAGTGAGGGGAGTAGCAAGTTGAGGATGATTATCTACCAGATTCACAGATGATTCAAATCACGTCGACTTAATTTAGGAGGTGAGTGTAAAGGGGGTAAATTCTACGCCTTATGGTATTTAAGTTTTTTAGATTTGATTGCTATGTGTCGTACTTGCCTTTGTATGCTTATATGATGTCATATGATTTGTGTGAGTTATGCTTTCAGTTTTATGTTGTTGTGTGCTTTACTTACAAGTAAGTCTAAGTTAAAGAAACAAGTTCTTTTTAAGGAGTAACTCACCTTCAAGAAGGTGAAGTTGTTTTAAGTGTTTTTAGTCACTAGCGCCAATCCGTTGCCTTTTGAGACATTTTGAGATAGAGCAGCAGTTATGCTCTTGAGACTTTTGAGATGAGCAGCAGTTATGCTCTTGAGAATCGTGGTGAAGAGCCACCGCGATAAGTTTAAGATGTTAGGGGGATGAATTGTTACGACTCCCCTAAATAAGTTTAAGTTTAACAAAAGCCTGGATGGCTTCTCATACGTATGAGTTGGCAACCGGACTAGCTAGTGAGGGATCCCCGTGCCAGTCAAGTATTTAAGTCAAGATTTGAGCTTTAAGAGAGGAGAGTAACTTCAACTCCCTCAAAGTTTAAGAGTTAAGATTTTAAGATTGGAAGTACAAACAACTTCCACTAGTCAAAGTTAAGTGTTTAGGTAAAGTACTCAAGTATTAGAAATTTTAAAACGTAAGGGCGTAGACTGACCCCATCTCACTCACCAGGACCTAGTAAAGGAATGAGCGAGAACTAGATCGATAGTTGCAACTAGAGGAGCAGTTAGTGAGCAGCGAGATCAAGAAAGCTGTTCGAGGCAAGCCAGCTAAAGGAGGATAGTACAACCGTCACTGGAGGTACCAGAGATCGAATCCGAGCAGACAACAAAGTAGAGTTTTAGTTATTGATTTACGATTATGAGTAGTGACTGGAGATAGTAGTTTGCCCAAGTGTTAGGGCTTTGTTTTAAAAGATTTCCGTTCACTTCAGTATTTGTTATGGTTATTTATGGAAAGCTTCCATTTTTTTACAAGTCTTTCGTTTATTATTTTGGTTTATGAGTCATCAAGGGCATTTTGGTAAAATTAGTACCCGACCGGGTTAGGGTGTTTCAGTAAATGTGATTTCTTCATCTCCTATTCCTAGTGACATTTTAACACCTTGCATGTCAATGGTCGATTTAGCCGTTGCTAGAAATGGTCGTCCTAGAATGAGGGGAGCATCGACATCTCCAAGCATGTCTAAGACAACAAAGTCGGCTGGCAACATGAATCTATCAACCTTAACAATTCCTAAGTCTACTAAACATTTCTTAAACAAAGCATTACCAATCATGCAAGGTATAGTAAAACTCCCTGCATCATTTTTCTTTTCCGGAACCAACAGTTGAACCTCCCCAAGTTTCTCCTTTTTGTAATGACTTATGAAAGAATTTTCAATACACATTACCTAATAGCATCTTTTACATGAGACTTATTTAACCTCTTTAAAGTGGATGGCAAGTACTGTTGCAAGGGTGGACGATTTTGGACATATATAATTTTTCTGTTCCATTGAATAGTGAATCTCAATCTATCTTCACTATTGTGAAGAAAAAATATTAAATCGCACTTTGAAATTTTGAAGTGTGAAGGATTAAATTTGAGATAATGGAGTGAAAATCACATGAATGGCAGTAGAAAATTACAAAACTCATAAGTGAATTCATAGTTTGAAAGATATATAATAAAAAATGTGAAAGAACAGATCTCCAACAATTAATGCAAATGACTTGGATGAGGTAAATTTATTTTGCATGATAACGATGTGTCATATTTGCATAAGTTTTGCTTTCGAAATCGCTAGCAATGAAATGAGTAGAATGACAAAGACCCTTTTAATGATGGAGACATAACAATGTTGTTAAGATTTAAGAAGAACGAAGAGACACTCGACAATGGAGATAGTAGACTCGATAATGAAGATAGTCATATTGTTAATGTTTGAGACAATTGCTATTGCTGTTTATACTATTGATGAAATTCATCCAGCCAACAGGCCGGGTCCCATATCTAATAAAGATAAAGGTAGCAAAATAAATTAACTTTAAACTCGTAAATTTTAAATAAATACAACTTAGTCAAATCTTTTAATTTTTTAAAATTGTTAGCCAAATCTTTGAAATACAAAATATTACCCAATTCTTTAGTAATGTATCCACATATTAGCAATTTTTCTCTTACTGATAATAATTTTATTAACTCTTTTCATAGTTAAAATACTAAATTTATGGCTAAATTATAAGTTTGGTAACTAGAATTACTATAAAAGTTCATGTTTGCCACTAAAATTAATTTATTCCATCCGTAGTCACTTAAATTAGTTATACAGTTCAAGTTTGGTCACTCCCCGTTAGTCTCCGTTAACTTTATCTGACGTAATAGTCAACTCTGAGAGTTAACCGCCAGATAAGTGACGTGGGAATTAAAAATTAAAAAGATAATAAAATCTAATCTAATACAATTTCCACCACATTATCATAACAAAATAAAACAAATAAAACATGAAATTTTTTATATAATTGCCAATTTAATCATTTTTTCTTCACAACTAGATCGTTCAATCGGGGAGCAGATCCGGTGAATAACCTTGTGGTGAGTAACCCCATGCATACCCCAATAAGAATCTGTCACATCAACACCTCCTTCTCTCTCCTAAAAAAATCATTAATTTTCTTTTCCTTAATCTTTAACGGATGATTTCTCACTTGTTTTAACTCGGAATTTAATTTTTTTTTTTGCACAGTTAGATTAGATTAATTGTGCTCTTCAAAATGATATCCACTTCGATATTTTTTGGAACAAAAAAAATTTGCCAGTTATTACCGGTCAATACCATATGGTATTGACTGGTATTAAATAACAGCATATCATATGGTATGGAAAATACCAACTCATACCAGGGTGGTATAGTATGGTATGGAGTTGGTAACTATTCAAAATGATATCCACCTTGATATTTTTTTGAACAAAAAAATTTGTCAGTTATTACCAGTCAATACCATATGGTATTGACTGGTATTAAATAACAGCATACCATATGGTATGAAAAATATCACCTCATACCAGGGTGGTATAGAGTTGGTAACGAGAGGTATGGAATTTTTTCCCCAGAAAATTTTGAAATCCAATAGATCATGATTAAATCGTTCCTTTTGTGCAAAAATTTCCGAAAATGACTAAACAACGAAGGAGATACCATATGGTATGGAGTTGGTAACGAGAGGGATGAAGAAAAAAAATTTTCTCAAAAAATATTGAAAATGGATATCATTTTGCAGAGCATAACGAACTCGTTCCATCTGTGCAAAAGAAAAAAAAAATTTGAAATCCGAGTTAGAATGAAGAAGATATGATCCAATTAAGAAAACTAGAGAAAATAAATTCCTTTAATTCTCCACCCTTAGATCTGCAGCACTTAAAAGAAAGGTCCAGATTTGGTTACTCATTGTTACTCACCCTAAGCTTACTCACCCTATCTTCAGTCGTTCGATCGACCCTGTGTCTCTCTCTCTCTATGAAAGCCTCTGATCTCCTCAACCCAGCCATCAGCCGAGCCAGCTCGCCGAATATGTATTCCTCCCCGACTGATTTCACCAATTCGTAAACAAAGTCATTCTTCTGCAATTGAAGGGATCTCCGAGCCTCGCATATCAATTGGGGAAATAGCTTCCCTCTTCCCCCACCGCAGGAGAGGAATCGGCTGAGGGCTCTCGAGATTTGAGAAGGCGAGGTTCTGTTCGATGACAGTGGTGAACACCAGATTCAGGACGAGAGTTTCCAGGTCCCCGGGTCAGGCTCTCGGCAAAACGAAGAACGCTGACCACCTTTTTCTTTGCTTTGCTTTTTCCCACCCAATTTATATTCCTCTTCATCCCTCGTGTGTCCCCACTACCCTGTTTCTATAAGATTTTTCCAAGGCAATTTGCTGAAGTTTATAGTTGGACGTTAACAAAAGACTTTTTGCATATAATATATTGAATTTGAGGGAGTTCCTGCCGCCGAAAGTAGGGTCGACGGAGAGGTCTCTTCCTTGCCTACCAGAGTCTCGGTACTGCGAGGAAACTGTCGAGGTGATAGAGGCATAGAGCAGCGGAGGCAAATGCCTGCAAATGGATTAAAGTGCGACACCGACATCTAGGAAATCGCCCAAGATTGTTCAATCCCAACCCGGAATCCTCTTCGTCATCCCCGAATCCCCCACAATCGATCTTGTACCGCTACAGCACTATCGCTACCTACTACTTCAGCCAGAGATGAGAACGAAATCATTATCTTCAGCCAGAGTTGAGTGTGGGTGCTGCGGAGGAGTGCGCTTTCCCGACATCGGCGGAAGGTAGAGCCAAGGGAGGAGAGGGAACACCATAAAAAAAACACGTGACTGATACTCGACGGGATGAATCTGTAGGAAGATTGGATGGCGCAGCAATCTCGAGGAAGATATAATAGGATAGAATAGATCAGAGAGAGTGAGCTCTCAATTGTTCGCCTGAAGCGTTCATTGCCAATCGGAAGGGAGCATCAAAAGAGAGCAGTGTTTTCTTTGTTTGTTAGCAGTTGTTTGGGTTTGTTCAATTTAATTATAATTTTATTTATTTATTTTTTTAATTTATTGTGATAATGAGGTGGAAATAATAAAAGATAAGTTTTTTTTTTAATTGCCACGTCACTTATTTAATGGTCAAAACTCAGAGTTGACTGCCACATCAGATAAAGTTAACGAAGACTAACAGAGAGTGACCCAAACTTGAACTGTATAATTAATTTAAGTGACTACGGATAAAATAAATTAATTTTAGTAATAAACATGAACTTTTATAGTAATTCTAGTGATCAAACTTGCAATTTAGCCCTAAATTTAGTAATGTTAACTACCATGTGTCTCTTCCAAGTCACTATCATATTGCCAAGTCAAATTACTAACCAAAGTTAGCATTTGGCTAATATTTTGTATTTTAAAAGATTTTGACTAATCATTTTAAAAAATTGGCCAATAATTTGTAGTTACCTTAAATTCTATTCAATACAATCCATCATAAAAATCTAAGAAAAATTTGTATGAAACCATTCAAATCCATTAACATTTCACAATTCTCCGTTTATCCACCCCACCCATGGAACCTACAATCACATCTCTGACATACGATATTGGAATCGAGTTATCAAAATTCTTCCGGTACCTCCAACTATAATTTTCGAGTACTTAATCGGCCTTTAACAGTTCCAGGGCGAGGGGAGTTGACAAGAGGGTGCAAGAAAAATCCAATAGATACTAATACCAACACCAATGATGGAAACAAAACAAGGACCAAAAGTCGATTACACATCTCAAAACGGGAGCGCTAACGGGTATCAGACTAATCCGCAACAGAAACTCAAAATCCAAGGTTTTCTAAAGGCAAAATTTCTACTGAGAGCAAAATCACACGAAAACACAGAACCAACCAACTGTCTACTCGTCTTCCTGGCTCCTGAGCCTAGCCAGCTTGTTGGTGACAGCAATATCCAACTGTGCTGCACGCTCCACAATATCATTTCTCTTAAGCGTAGAGACATCATGAGCAATCTCGGCACAATAAGTCCTAAACAGAAAAACCGATGTTCAGGTCAGGAGCAAATGCAGAGCAAACCAAGACATAATATTTCTGACCATGGGAATGGAAGTAGCTTACCTGTTATGCATCATCAAAACCTCCAGCTCCTTAACATTGTGGACAACAAACTTCTTGAAGCCATTGGGAAGATAGTGGCGGGTTTTCTTATCTGATCCATAACCGATGTTGGGCATCAATGTAACTCCCTTGAACTTTCTCCTCACCCTAGAGTCAATACCCTTTGGCCTTCTCCAGTTCTCCTGCAAAGGAAAAACACAAATTTGAGATAGGCAAATCAATATCCAGAACAGAACACTGCAGGGAAAACACAAATTTTAGATGGGCAAATCAGTAGCAAGAACAGAACACTACAAATCCGCACATTGGCATGTTCTGGCTCTTATTTGTAGCATTAACATCTCAGTAAAACGGGCAACACGTGACAGGAACCCTTCAATTTTTCGGCTCAGTACAGCCAATTATATGAAATTATGTCCTACAGCTTTAAATGAGGCATAATTGAGGAAGGAGAGGCTATTCTTGACACACAAGTTAACAAGAATGTTAATAACGATTGATGTCATTCTGTAGAATCAAAAGGATTGAGGAAGAAAGATATGGGAATGTGGGTTAAACCAGGCCCTCGAATCAGGAAAAATCAAAGAGAGCAGACATGTTCACCCATGAAAATTTAATTTCCGTGCATCCTACCATGCTACCTTCATCATAAATTGATCCAGAGCATCGGCTTATTGTGCACAGTGTATGACAACTTCTGAATTAATAACACAACCAACAAATCAAGCATGACAAGAACAATGCTGAACCTAGCTACGACCGAAGGAACAACAAAGTTCAATTAAGGATTACCTTGACCGAGATCTTACGGTCACTCTGGGGCCTCTTGAACTTCTTGACCCTCTTCTTCACAATCTTCTTCGTCAACAGAGGAACCGCCATCTTGTCTATAATGCGCAAATTAACAGCACATCAGATTCTCTTCAGGTAATTAAGAAAAAAAAAACACCGAATGATTCAGAACAACGACGTGCGAGACAGCGAAAGAGAAGAAGCGAGCGAGGAAACATATCCGAACACTATTCTCATAGCCAATACTCCATCAGAGGCTCGATGGAAAGGAAAATGTCGTCTAGCAATACGGGTGTGGCGGAATTCAAGAATGCAGAGTTCATAAAAGAGCTCGAAAATAGCTAGAGAGACGCGCATATGAGGAAGGAAGTAGGCTTTGGGTTTCATACCTGCTTCAACAGCCGCGCTGCAGTTCCCCTGCTGTGCTGTGTGGGTATGGGGAAGGACGGTGGAGAGAGGCTAGGGTTTGAGGTTCGGGTGCATTTTTATATTACGTAAGAGAAATATTTGGATGTGGCCTACGCCCTACGGTTAGTTGATTTTTTCGGACGGGCTAATTTTCTTAAAGGACTACCAGCCCAGCCCATACTTTTATTTGCTGTGCGAACTTAGGGGGTGTCAGTTCGGACGGGTTCGGTTACCCGAATCGAAACCCGAAAACTCGAAACCGAAAATCATTAAAACCGAACCCGAACCCGATAAGGACTTGCAAGTTCCGGTTACCCGAAATCCTAAAATTCCTTAATGGGTTCGGGTTCGGTTAAAGCAAAACCGAAACTCGAAAACCCGAACACCTAAGAATACGGGTTGAGTTCTATTCATTGGAGGTTTTTAGCCGGAACCGGAAAAACCGATAAGCAAAACCGAACTCGAAACCCAAAAACCCGAAACCCGAAACGAACCCGAACCCGAAAACCGAAAATGTATATAATCGGGTTGGTTTCGGGTAAACCCGACAAACCGAACCCGAATGGACACCCCTATGCAAACTGCGAAGTATCCCGGCCTATGCGCGATACGATATGGTTCATAAGCCTCAATACTTGTTTCTAAAGGCTGTGGTCCTCGGCTCTTACAAGTTACATAGTAGAAAAATTGTATACCTTATTTTGGTCCGCTATATAATCAACTTTGACTCGTGGTTTTAAACATTAATATTCTAGCCTCAACTATACAACATATATACTCAATTGGCCGGACACATGGTTTGACCGTCAATTTGGACGATTAGTCAACACGCCATGTCATTGTCTTGTCGGCATAAAAATTATTAAAAAATTAAAATCAAATTATTTTCCTAATTTCTATTATTTATCATTTTTAAATTAACGAAAAAATAAAATTCAAAAGCCTTCCTCTCCCCTGCCAAACCTAAGCTCCGCCTCGCAATCCTCCGCGCCACATCCCACGCCAACTACCGTCCCTCCGACCGCTCAATCTCCAGCGTCCTCTCCCTCGACGGCCACGGCTCCCGCCGCACCACCTGCACCTGCATCGAGTCCCTCATGGATCGCCTCCACGCCACCAAGAACGCCTCTGTCGCCATCAAGTGCCTCTTCACAATCCACGTCGTGTTAACCACCAGCTCTCTGTCTACCCTTCTTCAAGCGGGAGGAATTCCCTCAACTTGTCGAAATTCCGCAATGGATCCGACCCGGAGGCCTGGGAGCTCTCGCCGTTTCGAGAACCCTAGGTCAATTCCTCTCCGTCGGTGGCGGCGAGGGAGGGAAGGAGGAAGCAATTCTAGAGAAGCTGAACGGAGATTTGCTAACCGAGGTCGAAATTCTGGTCGATTTCGCCCAATTGGTGTGCGATGCTCCAAATTCTCTTCAATTGCAGAAGAGAGATTTTTTTTACGAGGTGGGGAAGACTTCAGATTAGTCAAGCGGGAGATTCTTGTTAGGGTTGCGGAATTTCAGGACGGAAAACTGCAGAGCTTGAGTTTCGGCGAGCTGACTCGGCTGGTGGTCGAATGTAGGAGATTGAAGGGTTGTAGAGAGAGACTAAGCTTGTTGTTTGTTAACGGGAAGAGGAATGATGCTCTGTGGGAGATGGTGGCGGAGACTGTGAATGAAATTATTGAAGCGGTGATGGAGAAGGACGAGCAACGACTGTGTCGGCGGTGTCAGTGAGATCAGGGAGGTGGATGGCAACGGCGGCGAGGACCAGTTCAATTGAACCGGGTCAGGTGGAGGCGGCGAAGGAGTTGCTGCTGTCATGGTAATAACTTAGGTTCAGAGGAATAAAGGAAGGGGAACTGGGTTCGGGGGAGAGGAGGAAGTGTGGGCTGAGTGAGGAGAGAGGCATTTTTAAATTTCAGTTTTTTTATTTAATTTATTTAATTATTAAGTTTTTATTTATTTTTACTTTTTACATGGCATCCACGTCAGCGTAGCATGCTGATTCACTAACGATCAATGATGTTGACCGTCTAATTTAACGGAAATTCACGAGTCGAGCCAATTGAGTATATATGTTGCATAGTTAAGGGCAGGATGTTAATTTCTGAAACCACGTGCCAAAGTTGATTATATGCTCATAGTTTGGGCCATAATAAGGTGTTAACCTTTTTTTTTACTTCTTTACCTTTTCGTTAAAAGAGGTATTCGACGAAAGCTCCTCGAGTAGATGGAATGTCAGTCTTGTTTTCCAAGAAGAACTAGGAGATAATAGGGCCTGATGTGACTGGGAACTAACTGGGTACTTAGAGAATGGATCCTTTCCTAAAGAACTGAATCACGCACTGATAGCTTTGATCCCCAAGATCGAGAAGCCACAAACACAAATGGATTATCATCCTATCAGCTTGTATAAGGCACTATACAAGATCATGTCAAAGGTTTTGGCTAACATATTGAAAATGATCTTGAACATGGTGGTAGAGGAGAACCAAAGTGCATTTGTACCTGGTAGGTACATAACTGATAATGTGATGGTAGCATTTGAATGTTTTAATGCCATGAAAACACAAAAAGATATCAAGAGAGGCTTCATGGCAGCAAAACTAGATATTTTGAATGCCTATGATCGCGTGAATTGGGGATTCCTAGAAGCTATGATGCTAAGGTTGGATTTTGATGGAAGGTGGGTGAACTTGATTATGTCATGCATCACTACTGTTTCATTTTCGATGTTAGTGAATGGACATCAATCAAAAGTTTCTAAACCAAAGAGAGATTTCACACAGGGTATCCTGATTTCCCCCTACCTGTTCCTACTATGTGTGGACGGGTTGTCAGCTTTAACTAGGAAAGTGATAGGGGAGGGGAAGCTTCATGGATTTCAGGTATCCCGAAGAGGACCAATCATCTCACATCTACTATTTGTAGAATATAGCATTTTCTTTGCTAGAGCTAGTTCAACAAAATGTGAGCATTTAAGGGATATTATCAAGCTCTATGAAAAGGAATCGGGGCAGAAGGTAAATCTCCAAAAGTCACACCTAACTTTTAGCCCGAATGTGGCAACGAGCGAGGCTTGAAGGGATACTTGGTATGAAGCAAGTTGAAGAACACACTAAGTACCTAAGGTTGCCTACCATCATTGGATGTGAGAAGAAGCTAGTTTTTGGGGTACTGGCGAACAAGGTTAGGAAAAAGATCAAGCTCTGAAAAATTCGAAGCTTATCCAATGCAGTAAAGAGATGTTGATCAAAGCGGTAGCTCAGCCTCAAGCAACCTACACAATGTCAGTATTTCTTGTCCCTGTAGTGGTATCGGATGAACTAAAGAGCGTCATTTTGAACTTTTTGTGGGGATGAGAAAGAAGGAGAATAATATACCGTGGAGAGCTTGGCGGAAGCTGTGTGAACCAAAGGATGAAGGAGGGTTGGGTTTTAGGGACCTCGAAGTCTTTAATATTGCCCTGTTAAGGAAACAAATGTGGAATCTTTACAACATTCAGATTTCCTAGTAGCCCGAGTGTTAAAGGCTAAGTACTATCCTAATACTGACATCTTACATCCTAGAGCAAGGCATAACCCAAGTTGTGTGGAGAAGCCCAATGATAACTCAAAAGCTGGTGAGAAATGGAGTTCGTTAGAGAATAGGCGATGGAACTAATGTTGAGATGTGGGAAAACATTAGAAAGGTGAGTACCGGAGGTGGTAGAGGATAACTATTTGGTAGTCTCACCAGTGTCAAGTCTAAGCATTCTAGCTCGTGTTTCCTCATTGATCGACCACACAAACCCAGTGTCAAGTCTAGGTATTCTAGCTCGTGTTTCCACATTGATCGACCACACAAACCAGTAGTAGAGGATGAATGTGCTCTAACAACACTTTAATCCAACATACTGGGCTAGAATCCTGGCAATTACCCTGCCTATAACTATAGGCGTCAAAACATAACCCGACCCGAGTAACCTGCCCGTTCAATCCGACCCGCAGCCCGAGTTGACTAATATTCAATGACACGTAACCCGCCCAACCTGTAACCCGATTTACCTGCAACCCAATCAACCCGCAACCTGATTGGCCCACTACCCGATAAAACCCAAACCCGATTGACCCGCAACCCGATTAAACCCAAACTCGACTAACCCGCAACCCGATTGACTCGATTCTGGCTAACCCGAACCCCCCCCCCCCCCCCGATTGACTCGAATAATTACTATATAGAAATAGATATATAGTCTTTAAAAATAAAATTTTTGGTTCTAAACCTAGGCAAAACCATTTTCATTTCGCTAAGTGATGTTCAAATTCTAAATTTACTTGAAATTATGTATTTTTATTAAAATTAAAAAAAATTAAAACATGAAGTTCACTTGAACATTAAGTTCATCTTGCAAATGATCAATTATGTAAAATGTATTGAAAACTTGGAGTTCTAGTCGGTTAAAGCTTTGTTATTGCAAATTATGTACGAATGTATTGAAATTGTATCTGACACCACTTCATTTCATCACATGAATGTTTGTGGAGTAGTTATTTTAAATTTTTGGCTTAAACTGAATATGAGTGTTTACGTATATGTGTTATGGTACACCTTTTAATTTGTGATTGTAATAGGGCTTTTGAATAAAAAAATTTGATCTCACCATAACTATTAACTAAAGTACTTTACCAATTACGATCACTTATTGACTTGCTATTTTGCTACCCACAAAGAATGATGATAACAATTACTTACATACTCTTTGGTTACCGACAAAGAATTCTCTAGGTTTCCTTTTTACGTATGGTACGAAAGAAAAGAACCAAACTAAGAGAACAAGCCTCCTGCAATGTTGCCCATGGGACTCCATAAGCTTCACCAACAAAAAACTATATAACCGACCCAAATTTGATATATTTTGTTTAAGAAAACATAACCAGGCTCCTGCTGGTCTAGGTTCCCCTCCGCCGCCAGTCATCAGATGATCTCTTCGCAGGTACTGGAAACTTACACCAATCAAATAAGTTATTTTACATTATAATTTATATACCTAATTAACATTTTATTATGACTTGTTACCCATTGATATGTAGCTTGTGAGCTAGCTTACTAAAGACCATTGAGATAGATTATATATCTTCCATTATCCGATGGTCTTATGCTTTCCTACATAGCTACACATGCATCTCATATATCATATGTATAAGATAACTAAATGTATTATATGTATCTCGTTGTAGTGGTTTTGGTGGAAGAAAATGGAGATATAAAGGAAAAAGAAGGGGAGATTCATTTTATAGAGAGGAGGGCGTAAGAGGAAGGATTGTACCACATCGATGAGGAATAAGTGATCCCAAATCTCACTCATGTATAAATTTGGGTTCCTTCTCCCTTCCTTTTTTTTTGTTGAGGATGATATATATTAAATTAGAAAACGAAAAAGTACAAATGAACAAAGAAAAGGACATAAACAGGGAGAAAAGAACCACAAGAAAGACCCCTGCGAACAGAGTCCTTAGGAACATATATGAAGAAAACCAAAATATTTGTCGAGAGTTGCACATGTTTCTCGAACTATGGCTCCGCAAAAGGGATTTGCTTCAGCCAAAGGCCAAGAAGATGGAACAGCTTCCCTACTCAGATGTCCCGCTGACGTTGTCGCTCGGGATGAAAAAGTAATCTGCTTCTCATACCCGACAAACAAACCTCTGCTTCTTGTGTAGCAATCTTCTGAGCCGTAGACAACCAGCTCGCCATGTCACACCCAATTCGATATGCTGTGACGTGATGGGGTGCAGTGTCGATTTTGAATATTCTCGAGTTCCTTTCCCTCCAAATGTTCAAGCAAAACGCGTGAAGAAAGACCTTGGTGCACCATTGACTCGAGGATGATGGCTTTTGACAGTACCAATGGCAGATCCTTGCTGTAATATCTTCATTGGAGTTGCTCCTACCATCGATTTTAACAAAAGCACCCATGATCTTCCAAACTTCCATCAAGTATTTGCAGCTAATGAACAGATGATTGGGGGTTCTCTTCTTCGTTTTCGCAGAGGGAACACCTACTTGGAAACTGAATCCCTTTCTTCTTTAGATTGTCAAGCGTGAGAAGTTTCTTATGGAAGAGAATCCACAAGAAGGCGCATATCTTGCTTGGAACTGCTGGCTGCCACACAATCTTGACCGAGAAATCTTCATTGCCTGGGGATTGGGCTGCTGTGAGATGTCCATAAGCATACTTTACGCTAAATCCGGTCTCTGCATTGGGCATCCATACAAGTCTCTCTAGACCTCCATGGAAACTAGAAGAAGGAATATTTGCAAGTAAGTTAAGTAAGCTCACTCTCTCCCTCTCAGCCCCCTCCCCCCTAAGAACAAATTTTAAAGGAATTTTCCACATCAAATTCGCATCATCAGGAGACAGATACTCCGCAGCCCGGGAACTCGGCGATTCTGCAACAGCGAAAACACGTGGGAACCTGCTCGCTAGGCAAGGACCATTGATCCGATGATCATACCAAAAGGACGTCCATGCCCCACTGCCTTGGTTGATGAGGGTCATAAGCCTGAAGTTCAGCACCAATTTCATAACTTGCAACCCGGGGCTACAACCCGCACCACCCCTTACTTCTCCTGTAAACCAGTCCGAAAGCTCATTCAGTAATTTGATTGCAATGAGCTCTCTCTACCAATAGCTTCTTTCATTAGTGAATCTCTGTATCCATTTCATAATGAGTGACTGATTATGAATCTCTAGGTCTCGGATGCCTAGCCCTCCTCTTTGCCTTGGTGTTCTACATAAATCCCACGACACTAAGTGAAACCTTTCCTTCTCCTGATTTCCTGACCAAAGAATGTCTCTCTG